AATGTAAAATGGTACAGCCACAGTGGAAAACAGTCTGATGGTTTCTCAAAAGATTAAACATAGAACTACCATATGACGCAGCAATTTCGTTTGTAGGTATATATCCAAAAGAATTAAAAGCAGGGAATTCCCTGGCGGTCCAGTGGTTAGGACTCCACACTTCACTGTAGGGGGTGCAGGTTCGATCCCTGGTCGGGGAGCTAAGATCCTGCATGCCATGCAGTGCAGCCAAAAACAAACAAAAAACAAAGTTACAAAAGAATTAAAAGCAGGCATTCAAATAGATACATGTACATGCATGTCATAGCAACCCGAGTGGCCAATGGTAAATAGCTAAGCAAAATGTAGTATATACATACAATGGAATATTATTCAGCTTTAAAAAGGAATGAAATTTTGATATATGATACAATATGGATGGGCCTCTAAAACATTATGATTTCTGAAGTAAGCCAGACACAGAAGACAAATGTATGAGGTACCTAGATAGCCAAATTCATGGAGACAGAGAGTAGAATACCAGGAGCTGGGAGGAGATGGAAAGGAGGAGTTATTGTTTGATGGGTACACAGTTTTTGTTGAGGGTGATGGAAAAGTTTTGGGTATAGATAGTGGTGATGGTTACCCAACTTTGTGAATGCATTTAATGCCACTGAATTGTTTACTTATGCATGGTAAAAATTATAAGTATTTTGTATATTTTACCACATTAAAAAAATAATGGCTAAACACTATTCAAAGTGCTTTACAGGTTTTAGTTCATTTAGTGAATAATGCGGCTGGTGAGTCAAAGGAAAGAGAATAGGTGTTACTTCCACTTCTCCTCTGGCTGCTGATCATGAGCCTAGAATCTCTTACATAAGTGACATTTATTGGTTACAGGATGTATCTATGTTAATGATTTGTTAGAATGTGAATTGTCATCTGTTTGAACTCCTGAATATTTCACCTGTGAGATCCAGTTGAGGTTTACTCTGTAGGAGAAAAAGGAGTTTTCTGTGTAGGACAAAGCACTGAGTGTTATGATGCAAACGAACCCATATATGTATAGTGTCCTCATCTCCCCCCGTCCCCCGTCCCAGAACTATACTAGGAATGACTTGAAATATTGTTGATCTAGAGCAGTGGTTCTCAATGTGTAGTCTCCAGACCAGAAACATGGGCATGCCCTCAGAGCTTGTTAAAAGTGCACATATTCAAGTGCATCCCAGACCTACTGAATCAGAAACTCTAGAGATGAGGTCCAACAATATGCATTTTAACAAGTCTCCAAATGCACGTTCAAGTTTGAGAACTAGTAGTCCAGAGAATAACTAGGGTGCTATTGTGCTTGTCGGGAAACTATCTAGAAGTGAGTTTAGACACTTAGGCTCACTTCAGAAAGGGAAGGCCTGGATTTACTAATTGGCTGTGGAACTCTAGGTATTAGAGCTAATCTGAACTGGATGAAACCTTCAGGAATCATCTGATTCTGTACTAGAACTGTGCTGTTCCAAGGGAGAGGAACAGTAAGGCAAGGTTCTCAAAGACTAGCATTTACCATGATTTCTCTGATCCAAAGAAAGAGCAGAGGGCTTCCCTGGTGGTGCAGTGGTTAAGAATCCGCCTGCCAATGCAGGGGACACGGGTGTGAGCCCTGGTCTGGGAAAATCCCACATACTGTGGAGCAACTAAGCCCGTGTGCCACAACTACTGAGCCTGCACTCTAGAGCCCGTGAGTCACAACTACTGAGCCCACGCTCCACAACTACTGAAGCCCGTGCGCCTAGAGCCCGTGCTCTGCAACAAGAGAAGCTGCCTCAATGAGAAGCCCATGCAGCACAATGAAGAGTAGCCCTCACTCACTGCAACTAGAGAAAGCCTGTGCGCAGCAATGAAGACCCAACACAGCCAAAAAATAAATAAAATAAATAAGTAAATAAATAAATAAAAACAAAGAGCAGAGCCCTTATCTACTTGAGAAATAGAAATGGAACCAGGATGTCTGCAAAACAAGGCATTGAGACACTTGATGTCCACTGCTGATGGCATTACCTAGAGAGATGCTTGGCTTCCAAGGGAGTATTGAATGAAAGAAGACACAGGCTGTTCTGACTCAGCCAAGAAAACCTGCCAGCTTTGACAAGGCCAGTCCATAGGAAAGCTCGTGTTACTCCAATGTCAGTTGCCCTTAGAATCTGGACCTAGGAGTTACCAGATTTTACTGTCGGAGTCCTGCCTGGGAGCTGAGCCCGGTTCTGTTCAGAGTTGAAAATGGGGCACTGCAGTGAGGACAGCCAGATTGTAGGCAGCTTTTCCAGGCTTCATTCTTTGTAGGTTTGCAAATGGCCTCTGAGGTACAGTAAGCTGATCTACTTGTACTATTTTATGAGCATGAATAGGTTTGTCCTTTAGTTTATCTGAGAGGCCTCCTTGGATTTGGAAGTATTGATGCAGTGAGTTTGAGATGGCTGAGGTCTGAAATGACTGATGTTGCCTAATTGCAATCTCCCAGCCAGCTGTATGCCTTTGAGGGAGTAATGAAGCTCTAGGTCATGGTCCCAGTTTCCTGAATGTGTGACACTCAGGATTCGGTCACCTGAGGCATAAGTTGGGCTTGGCCTCAGGAAGAAAACAAGAGGGCCAGTTAAATTTGGGGTCGATTAGCAACAGCAGGTCTAATCTGCAGGCCAGGGCCAGATTAGCCTCAGGTCTGACGTGCTGAATCCTAAAGTGTTGGACTAGAAGTCCTCAAGTCACTCCTGTCAGATCCATTTGACATTGGCAAAATTGAGCTTGATGTGTGGGAGAGGGAGAGGAGAGGGGGAGGGAGAGGGAGGGAAAGAGGGAGATGAAGATGGAGGGGAGGAGGTATGGGGGGTGGTGTGTTTGTTATTAGGGAGTGAAGCAGGTGAGAGGTAGCTTCATTGTGTGGAGTGGGAGGGAATATAGAACCAGGAAAGAAGGAACTAACTACTATGTTTTCAAAGCATCTCACCATTCTCATCTTTTCCTGGACTGATTCTGATTTGCCAGTGACCTTAAAGTTTAGCATCAGAACTGAAGACAGTATTACAAATGAAGTCTGATCGGCCCCTTGTTTTGGGCACCATGCTTCTCTAATGTGCTCCAAATTCAAAATAATTTTTGGCAGTTTTAGTAAACTGTTGACTCATAGATTCAAGTCAGCTAAGATTCCTAAGTCTTTTCTTTTCTTTTTTTTTTTTTGTGGTACGCGGGCCTCGCACTGTTGTGGCCTCTCCCGTTGCGGAGCACAGGCTCCAGGTGCGCAGGCTTAGCGGCCATGGCCCACGGGCCCAGCCGCTCCGCGGCGTGTGGGATCTTCCCGGACCAGGGCACGAACTCGTGTTCCCCGCATCGGCAGGCTGACTCTCAACCACTGCGCCACCAGGGAAGCCCCCTAAGTCTTTTCTTATGTGCTTCTGTTAAATTTCATCTGGTGCCTCTACAATTGATTTTCTTGCACTTATCCTTAAATATCATTGTGTTAGATTTATTGTTCATTGAGATTTGTTGAGCTTTATGAGCCAAAAACTTTACAAATATTATGTTTTCTCCCCTCTTACACCAATTCTGTGGGGGTATTACTCCCATTTTAAAGGTGTAGAAATTAAGGCTCAAAGAAGTAACTTGCTTGCATTCTGAACAATAAGTGGTAGAACCTGGTATTCAAACCCTTGTCTGTCTGACTCCAAAGCCTCACCTTTGAGTACCATTCTAGCCCATTGTTCTGTCCTGTTTTGATCTTTTAGATCTGTGTTCTCTTTTACAATATATTTGTTCTCTTAGTTTATCTCTCCTCTTACATTGTCATCGTGACCCAGTGCCCTTATCTAAGTCATTTATAGCAAATGAGACCAGGCCAGGGATGGATGCAGA